CATCAGAAGCGTTCAGGATGGCAGGAGACTGGACATGATGGGCAAACATGGGGATAAGAGGAAGGAAACAGAGAATAGAAGGAGGTGACAGCTGACAAGGCCTTGTGTTCTCAGATGCTGAGCATGAAATGAAGCATTTATGATGAAAAAAACAAAACAGATGTATGGTACAATATTAAATATACAACAGTAAATTACAGCAGGTGGCTTCACAGCAGCTTAGACACAGCAGAAGAGAAGAGGATGGAATTGGAAGATCAATGCCCAGGACGGATGCAGAGTTGCAGACTCTGGGAGTGGACCCACCCCAGAAACAGAGGAGGAGGGGGATTGGAGGAAGAAGGAACGTTTGAAAGTACCCCACTGAGAACCAGGACACCCCCTTGGACCAAGCAGCCCATGACCCTTGCAGCCTCAGAGGTCCAGACTCCAGCCTGGCCTCACATGCTGGTTGGTCTTGTCCCTGCCAGGCCAGAACCCTCCTCAGAACCCAGAGCCCCCACGGCTCTCCCTCACCCTATGCCCAGGACGTGTCTCCTGTGCACTCTTCCCTGGCCCACAGGTGGGAGTTTATACCTGCTCGGGCGGCCTCGGCATCCACACCAGCAACCTGGTAGCAATTACCCTGCTGCCTCCACCTGGCACAGCTCGGATTTCCCACAGTGCAGGCCCCGTGGTCAGGAGTGATTAGAACACACAGGAGGGCAGCTCAAGACAACAGGTGCTGAGGCATGCAGATTTCGAGGATTTAAGTGCTGATGCCCTTGGAAGACCATTTCCATGGGGTTAATCATGGTTTCTCTTGGTGAACTGTTGGCTTGTGTTTTTGATATTGTTGTTGCTCTAAATAGTGTTTACCTGACTTTGAACTCGATTGATCACGTTCTTTGTTAAAATATGTGTCATTCTAAAAGTTCACATGGCATTAGATTTTTTGCTCAAACTACCTATACTATTTCTCCAACAGAATGCACATTTGCCTTTCTTCCACACATACCTCCGCTCCCTGCCCTGAGCAGCATCCCTGCTGGTCCCATCTGCTTAGGGGGTGGGGCAGGGGACACAAGCCCTGACACGAGGTGGGGCCGTGCCAAGCATGGTGGTCTTGCAAGGGCACTAAGTGAGTGGGCTCTTGAGAGAGGGGATATCATTGCCTCCGGGGAACCCCCTAGGCCACAGGAGAGAGGTCAGCTGGAGTGTGAGGTAGGGGGTGGAGATGCAAGAAGGCTGGGATGGGGCCTGCTGCTCTATCAACAAAACCCCTCACACCTGAAGGGCACACAGCAGGAGGGCATCGTATTCACTGACCTCACAGGTAACTGTCCATTAGCGTTCACCCAAAAAATAATAAAATACACTGAGAGGGGCACAGGAATGGATTGCTCACATCTTTATGTCGGCTGAATGGAGGAAATTTCTAAGCAGGTTGAGAGAAAGGATATCAAGCTGTGTTTGGAGAAAGGGGTGGGAATTCTAAACAATGTTATGGAAGCAGGGCAGCTAGAACCACAGGTGTATTCAGAAGAATGCTAGATCTCAGTACTACTCTAGAATATCAACAGTTTTCTGTGGACGGTATGGGACGTGTGATTTCTTCTGTTTGTGGGTTTTGCGTTTCACATTCTCTGTGACATATCTACACTGCGTTTTAAAAGTCAAAATTATTGTGAATTTCAATTGAAATTGAATTTCAATTGAAAATAAAATGTTATCTCATTCAGATCTTTATACATTTAACTTCCACGTTCCTTTACAATAACTTAGCAACACAACTTAGCAACACACCTAGCCCTGTTTTCACCCGGACCAGCCTGTGCTGCTACAACCCTGGTTTCTCTTCCTCATCATGACATACTCAGCTTCCCTTCCCGTTTCAGTTCGAGGCAATGTGGGGCGGGAAGGGAGGGGCAGTTGCCACTCACACAGCTCACACTGAATGCCAGAGAGCTTGCCCCGCACCTCTGCCTATTTTTCTAGTTGAATTTCATTGCATGCAGCAATCAACCTCGGGAATTCATTTTCCCACATACGGGAAGCTCAGCCCCAGGTAGGGGGATTTGCTTGGTGGGGGATTTGAACCCAAATCCCTCTCACTGCAAAACCCACAGCATCCCCGTGAGGAAGAGACAGGGAACAGGGAGTAGCCCTGGGTCACCCTAAACTGACTTCAGGCTCAGAGAAGGACAGATTACCTGGGGAATGAGGAAGCTCATTGCTCTGGAGCTCACTTCTGGAGAAATGTCATGAAGGGGCCCTGTAAGGAGCTGGTGGTAAATTCTGTTAATTCTGGGACCAACAACCTCACGTCAAGACCTGCCTGCTCACTTAGGTCTCTCCAGACCAGAGGCTCTGGCCAAGTTTGGGCTCCCAACAGAGTCTAAGAAAATGTGGAGAGCACCAATACGTGTTCTTGAAGATTTATTTCAGAGTGAGCATCAGTGAACTACAAGAACCTGAGACAGAAGCCAACGCCTCCCATTTCCCCATGATGTGAGACAGGACCCTGTGCCTCCTGCGGACTTCAAGAAGTGTGGACTTGAGCTTTGGCATCTCCCTCAGTGATCCTGTTCCACAGATTTTGCTGTTATATTCTCTGTATCTTTACCGGGGTTGGGAGGCTGACTTAGTCTTATTCGGGGTCAGTAACTGTCACTTTCTCAACTGTGGTGGTCCTGAGAATTCGTGCATTTGTGGCCATCCCAAAGAGCAGTGCAATTACGAAGGTGTAAATACGACCAAAGACCACTCTCAGATACAGCACGGACTGCTGGCTTTGTTTGACCAAACGTGTTCTTCTTGGAGGTGGCCCGCTGTCGACACTCCCACCAGCACCTCTTCTTAGGCACAGTGGAGGATCCCAGCCTATATGGCAATGGCAGTTCCTTCTGTTGTTGCAGACCCCTCTATGACTGCACTTCTCAGGGTGACAGTCATAGCCCAGTGAAGTGATAGTTGCATTGCACTGGCTGTTATTACAGAAGATTCCATCAGCACAAGGAGTGCCGTCTATCACATGTCCAACATCAGTTGTGCCTGTTGCACGGTGTTCATCCAATCCAAAACACTGAAACCTTCCTCTCACTGAGTGATGGAATGAAACATGTTCCTGCAGCCGGGGAAGATGGGTCACGTTGGTACACTGCAGTCTTCCACAAAACTTATCTATTACTGCACAAGCCTCATAGGCGATAGCTGTTCGTTCTCGAGTACAATGTCCGAATCAGTGATTTTCAAGATTGATGTCATAGCAGTCCTCAGGAGCATCCTCAGCACTG